ACACTTGATCTGATTGGCAATTCAATTGTCAAGTGATGTTAAGATATTTGCTTCCTGAATCTGCAGCGTTGTTTTTCTTTAGTAATTACTAGTGTCTTAAACTTAGATGGTGGAATGGTTGGTCAGGTGATGAAAGTAGGAAAATTATCTTAGGACACCTTCCTACACGGCCGTTTCCACGACGGCCGTGGATGAGAACAACTTTTCCGTTCTGATGACTGATTGATTGCAGTTTGGCAATTTTTAGAAAAACGTTTGGTCTTTATGAGTTTAGATGGAAAATGGTTTTGATTTTGTGTTATTATTGTTGTTGATGAGAATGAGATCGCGGTGATGACTCCATAAAATTCAAGCTCAACAGACCGGATTACAGGCTCTCTCTATTGTATAGAGTAAAGCTTGTATGGCGACAACCCCGCTGAACTGAGCGATCTCTCCCTTTTGTTGCATAAGCTTTCTGAATGTGTTTTTGGAACTTGTTCTATTCCATGCTATGGTATTTCTTTGTCCTCTATTTCATTCTACATTTGGATCTTTTGTGCATTTGACCAATCTGGTTTAAAGTACACCCATGTATTTTAAGCAGATCAATAGCAAGGGAGCTTGTATGCTTACAGGTCAGAGTTAGGGCTGGAATTTGGTTGGTAACTGGCCAACAGATTAGCGGAGTATCGATTTTGCGGTGGGGATGCTGACAACTGAACTGGTTTCCTTGCTGGTTAACTGGCTAACCCGTTAGATGCTAATAGGTTAGCAATCTTGGTATCCGATCAAGTTTGCGATAAGGAGAGGATTGAAAACGGTTTGGTTGTCGCAATGTTGAAGTTGCCATAAGGAATATGGTCAAGTACTTCTCTGTCGTACAATCTTGTGGGATACATAGGCTTATGGTATAGATATTAAAGATAGAGAGATCTTGAGGAGTTAGGTTTTGTTGACTTGTATGGTGGTTGGATTAACTGGTTTAAGGGTAAATTATAAAGTTGGTCATTGAGATTACAAAATCGTTGTGCATGGTCACTAGGTTTGGTCAAATGAGTTCTTGATAACATTGTTAGTATTTTTCTGACGTGACTAACAGAAGTGATGATTCACCCAATCTTATTATCATTCTCAGTTTGGCTCCACCTTCGCCTCCTAATCTTATTATCATCCTTTCCTCAGATTTGCTCCACCTCCGCCTTCTAATTCGCCACCATCGCCAGACCCTCCGCCTCCACCTACACCACCCATTGCCGTCGGCTCCAACACCAAATCTGTCGCTAAATCCTGCACCCCTTGCCGAGACACTGCGCAACAAAATCTTAAAGAAAATCAAATACAAGACAACAAGCCTCAATCTACTTTCCTTCCCAATTCTTGGCTTCTCGCCTTCGGTTTTGTGGGATGCATATTTTTAAATGGAGGGTGAAACTTGATTTGGGGAAGTATAATTTAAATATGATCTTATAACCAAAAATTATGGTTTTGATTTTGATCCAAAGGTGGCTGGATTTGAAGACAAAGAAAGATGAACAAAGGAGGAAGAAAGTTGGGTGGGCCGGGTTAAAAAGAGAAGAATATAGAAATGATTGGGTCATGGGTTGGATCGATTTTAATGATATCTCCAAATATAGAGGATGTAATCTGCTGATTAGGAACTTTTGTTAGTCATGTCTGCAAGTAAAGGACTTAGGCTAACTCCAATGGAGCTTCTATATTTGGGAGAAAGTTGGCTATAATGGAGCCTCTAAAATGGAGGAGTCACTATATTTGGGGGAGATCTCCAAAAAGATCCTCAAATTTGGGGGTGGAAATGGGGGTTCCCCAAATATAGAGACCGCCACGTGGTATTTCTTTTTCTTTTTAAGATTTTAAGGGTTAATTGGGGTTTGATTAGGGGATTAGTTAGGGGTTTAATTAGATCAATAATTTTCAAGTGTTATGTGTAAACCCAAATTAGGTCAATCATTTTTAGTCAACAAAAATTTGGTCTCAAAATTAAAAAAATTTCTTCCGGAAAATTTGTATTTAAAAATTATGACGAATTTTTACAAAAATTAACATGAACAAATTATATTAAGACTTCGATAAGTACATTTTTAAGTAAATGGAAAACTTGAAAAATGGATATCTCCAAATATAGAGGATGTAGCATTGGAGGAAAGAAGGAAAAATGGGGATGAACCACAAATTTGGGGATGAAGATCCCCAATTTGCGGGCTTGCATTGGAGTTGGTCTTAGTTAACGGAGACAGATGGAGACTAACGGAGAGTGACCAAATTTGGACTGTTTGATTAGTTCTAGTGACCATGAACGGAATAAAATATTTCGAGTGACCAAACATGGACGTTTTTAGTAATCATAGTGACCAACCTTGCGATTAACCCATTGGTTTAAGTTTGAGGTTTGGTTGGTTTCTAGTTCTAGAAGGTCTTTTATTTTCAACATAGAGAGTTATTGTCTGGTTAAAAGTGAAAAGAGGAGTCAGCCTTTCATTTTTTAAGAGAGAGAGAGAATCAGAAAAGAGAAGAGATAAGAAAAAAGAGAGAAGAGTTATTGTTTGGTCAAAAGTGAACAGAGGAGTCAGCTTTTCATTTTTTGCAGCAGGGCAGCCTGTTCAAATCAGCGTTCTGGAAGATTTAACTGTTGGATCGTCCTGAAATTTGGATAGTGGGTTCGCAATTGTTTAAGCATCATTCTGACAAGAGGGATCGTCATTCTGAGCGTTTGTCGGGAATAGCTGCTGGACAGGAGATGTACGAATCTGATTTCTGATATCTCTAAACCTCTCTTTGTCTTGCACTTGTTCTAGTAATTCACCATGTTGGTGAGAGCTATTGTGGCTGATTGATGATCCAAGAAGGGTGTCCTTGAGGTGTTTGTAATCCTCTAACTAGTCTAGAGAGGACTTGTAATCCCACCAAAGTCTAGTGGAATTGTGGTTTGAACAGATGTCCCATGGTTTTTTCCGATTTTGGTTTTTTACGTAAAATCATGTCTTGTGCATTCTATTCTTGCTTGTGGTGCTGCCCCGTTTCTCAACAGTGGTATCAGAGCATAGGTTGTTTGGGAGATGTAATGATTAAGTTGACATCATCCAACTACTCTAAAGTCAAAAATGGAGGATATTCTGTTTTGCAAGGATCTCTATGAACCAATTGAAAATGGCAGCGAGAAGCCGGAAGACAAGATCGAGAAGCAATGGGACGTCTTGCATAGAAAGGCAGTGGCAATCATTCGACAATGGATTGACCAAAGTATCTTTCACCATGTTGCAAAAGATACAAGAGCAGATGAATTGTGGCCGAAATTGGAGTCCATGTATGAGAGGCAATCGACTCAAACTAACTCTCACTCATTCGAAGAATTGTGAACTTGAAGTACAAGGATGGGCACAGTGTCTCAGAGCATTTGAGTGACTTTCAAGGGCTTGTGAACCAGCTAACTACTATGAAGTTAGCACTTGATGAAGTGCAAGCATTGTTACTTCTTAGTTCTTTGCTGGATAGCATGGTCCATGAAATCGTACCGTACCGGCGGTTCAACCACAAAACACCAGTATCGGAGGCTAAACCGATAGACGGTATTTAACGGTTATAACAGTTGAACTACGATTAAACCACGGTTTTGTCATAAAATACCCTACCGCTGATTTTTCTGGTACGATCTCCAGTACGGTTTCAGGACCATGCCGGATAGTTGGGAGACTTTGGTGGTCTCACTTAGCAACTCATCACCTAATGACAAGTTGACGATGGACATTGTCAAGGATAACATGTTGAATGAAGAGGCAATGAGAAAAGAGTTGGGGATTACATCAGAGTCACATGCTTTGGTGGCGGATAATTCTGGAAGTCGTGGAAGAAGTAGAAATCGAAATTTCATCTTCAAGAACTCTCAGAATTGAAGTAACAACCGAGGGAGATCAAAATCATTGTCAAGACCAAGAGAAGAAATCACATGTTATCATTGCAACTAGCCCAGACACATGTAGAGAGTGCAGAATCTTGAAACGGGAACAAGCTAGAGGAAAAGGTGTGGAAAACCGAGAAAAAGATGATACTACTGTTGCTGCCATAGATGGTGATGTGGTCATTGTTTGTGATGCCGGTTTTGTTAACCTTGCTTGTCAAGAGAGTACATGGGTTGTTGACTCAGGTGCCTCTTTCCATGTGACATCACAGATTGATTTTTTTCTCTCCCTACACATACGGTAACTATGGTTGTGTGAGGATGGGTAATGATGGTGCATCAAAGATTGTTGGCATGGGTGATATTCATCTAGAGACCAACCCGGGTTGCAAGCTAGTCTTGAAGGATGTGAGACATGTTCCTGTCATGAGGCTGAATTTGATATCCACGAGAAAACTTGATGAGAGAGCAAAGCTTGATGACAAAGCAAAGCCATGTATATTCATGGGCTATGGGCGTGAAGAGTTTAGATACAAATTATGAGATCCAATTGCAAGGAAAATTGTTCGGAGTAGGGATGTGATTTTTCTTGAAGATGAGACAAGTGAAGACGTCGAAAGGGGTGAAAAGAAAAAAAAATACAGCAGCTGGTTCGGTTAATTTGGAGCCTATATCTCCATCCAAATGCATGAACATGTTGATGAAGTAGTGCATGATGAGCTCCAAGGTGCACTAGATCAAGAAGTGCAAGGAGAAGAGCAATTGGAGCAAGAAGAACAAGTTGAAGAAGAGCAACCTCTATCCGAACCAATGTTCAAGAAGACAATGGGCGTCAACTAGGCGGGGAAGCACCGCCCAGCGCCCAGGGCGATTAATCGTCGCCTAGGCGAGATTAAACGTGAAAAAAAATCGAACTAAGAAGCCCTTAATCCACCATACTCATGCCTACAAATCTCAATCCAACATACCATCTGCTCTCCCTTGCCTCATCTTTTTCTTCAGCATGCCTTTCCACCCCCAAAACCGTCTTCCCCAACAGGCCTTCAATAGAGGATTAGAGGGAAATTTTGAGAAAAGAAAAAGATAGAGCTAGACCAGCAAGAGCCTAGACATATCGAAGCTCGAAGGAGAAAGAAGCAGTACCTTCAACGGAGGGAACTTCTTTTGGAGACCGGCGGCGAGGACGAGGAGGCGAGAACGAGGCGATGACGACGACCCCCTGATTCTCCAAAGCTGTCTGCTTCATTGGCGAAAGAAGAGGACGAGGCGGCGACTTGAAATGACGGTGGTCTGCTGGGTGGAGAGGAACGCCGGTGGTCGACTGGTTGGAGAGGCGAGAGAGGGACGACGGCCAGCTGGGTGGAGAGGAGAGAGAGGAACGATGGCGGTCTAGAGAGAAGGGAGAGCGACGGCGACTGTAGAGACTAGAGAGGGAGAGCTTCTCGCTGTCTGAAATTGGAGATATGGTTTTTCCTTTTTCAGGCCTTCCTCCTAAAACGCACAACACCGAAAAATTCATCTCCCTCTTCTCTTTTCTGGGCGTCGCCCAGAAGCCCACAATCGCGACTCCTCGTCGTTAAACGCGCCTAGGCGTTTTTGATCGCCATTCAACATTTTCTACGCCCAACCCTTTCGCCCAGCCCTAAACTCCAAGAATTCTCCATGCCCAGCTATGAATCGCGCCTAGGCGCGTCTTCTTGAACAATGATCCGAACCACGAAAGTCAAAAAGAGATCGCAAAGTTTCCACTTGGTACTCCCCTCATGAGTACCTATTGTTGACTGACGGTGGAGAACCCGAATATTATCAAGAAGCCATGTCTCATGAAGACAAGGAGGAGTGGAACAAAGCAATGCAAGAAGAGATGAAGTCTTTGCAAGAGAATCACACCTATGATTTGGTGAAACTACCCAAAGGAAAAAGATCACTTAAGATTAAGAACAAGTGGGTCTACAAGTTAAAGACGGAGGAAACTAGTTCAAAGCCTCAGTTTAAGGCGCGACTAATTGTGAAGGGTTTCAACCAAAAGAAAGGTGTTGACTTTGAAGAAATTTTCACTCCCGTGGTGAAGATGTCCTCTATCCGAGTTGTGCTTGGGTTGGCTGCAAGTTTGGACTTGGAAGTTGAACAACTCGATGTGAAGACGACATTTCTTCATGGTGACCTAGAGGAAGAAATCTACATGGATCAACCGGAAGGGTTCGAGGTTAAAGGCAAAGAAGATCTTGTATGCAGATTGAGAAAGAGCTTATATGGGTTGAAGCAAGCACCAAGGCAATGGTACAATAAATTTGACTCATTCATGGTCCGGATATGCAAGAACTACCTCCGATCATTGTGTGTTTGTGAAATACTTTGCTGAAAATGATTTCATCATTCTTTTACTTTACGTGGATAACATGTTGATCGTGGGTTGGAATATTGGAGAGATTGATAGTTTGAAAAAAGAGTTGAGTAAATCCTTTGCCATGAAGGACTTAGGACCGGCAAAACAAATTCTAGGGATGAGAATCTCTAGGGATCGAAGGAATGAAAAAATTTGGTTGTCCCAAGAAAGGTATATTGAAAGAGTTCTTGAGCGGTTCAACATGAGCAAGGCTAAGGCGGTTAGTACTCCACTTGGAGGACATTTCAAGTTGAGTGTGAAGTATTATCCTACAAGTGATGAAGAGAAAGAAGCAATGAAGAATGTGCCTTATGCATAAGTTGTTGGAAGCTTGATGTATGCCATGGTTTGCACAAGACCGCATATTGCTCATGCCGTTGGGATTGTCAGTCGGTTTCTTTCCAGTCGGGGGAAAGAACATTGGAGAGCAGTGAAGTGGATTCTTCGCTACTTGAGAGGTACTTCTAGAGTGTGTCTATGCTTTGGTAATGGCAAGATCATACTTGATGGATATACCGATGCTAACATGGCAGGTGACGTGGACTCTAGAAAGTCAACTTCTGGATACATGATGACTTTTGCAGGTGCTGCAGTTTCATGGCAATCTAAACTGCAAAAATGTGTTGCAAAACATATCTTCTGTCGAGATGAAGCAGGTTTGGTGCTACCCCCATATGAGCTGGAGGGGGAGATTTGTTGGGTTGGTCCAACTCATATGGTGGTTGGATTAACCAGTTTTAGTTTTGGTTGGTTTCTAGAAGATCTTCTATTTTCAAAATAGAGAGTTATTATCTAGTCAAAAGTGAAAAGAGGAGTCAGCCTTTCATTTTCCAGAGAGAGAATCAGAAAAGAGAAGAGATAAGGAAAACAGAGAAAAGAGAAAGAGCTGCAGTTATTCGTTTGTAAAGCAGGCAACCTGTTCAAGTGAGCGTTCTGGAAGATTTAACCGTTGGATCGTCCTGAAATTTGGACAGTGGGTTCGCAATTGTCTGAGCATCATTCAAACAGGAGGGATCGTCATTATGAGCTCTATTTCATCGGGAATAGCTGCTGGACAGAAGGTGTACGAATCTGTTTTTTGGTATCTCTAAACCTCTCTTTGTCTTGCTCTTGTTCTAGTTATCCACCATGTTGGTGAGAGCTATTGTGGTTGATTGTTGATCAAGAAGGGTGTTCTTGAGGTGTTTGTAATCCTCTAGCTAGTTTAGAGAGGACTTGTAATTCCACCAAAGTCTAGTGGAGTTGTAGTTTGGACAAAGGTCCCGTGGTTTTTCCCGATTTGGGTTTTCCACGTAAAAATTGTGTGTCTTGTGCATTCTATTCTTGCTTGTGGTTGCTGCTCCGTTTCTCAACAGTTTTCATGGTCATTGCTGCAATTATTTATTTCCATTGGATTCCGTATTTGCTTGGTTAGTTTCCCTTGAGCTGGGTTCCCTTTTTCGAGGAGTGAGAGAAGCAGTGTTATTAAAACCGGTCAACATTCTGATCCCGGAAGGCTAAAAAAGGCAAGAAAACTGATCGAGCGGGTTACGCCCGATTAACCTGGTTAACCGCCAAATCCGGCGAAACCGATGAGACGGTTTGAAACTTCAACATCCTAACATTTTTACTTTCCCGATTAAATGTAAAAAACAATAAATCCCCGCTTGAATCAATGCGTTTGCTTCTACGAGAGTTTGTTGGGTTTCCCGCAATAGGCTCCATTTTGTTCCAATGTTTAAATAATTTAAGTTCAATAACCACCCACCCACTTCTTTGGCGTTTCAATTTTTAATTAATGTTCCCTAGAAAACCCTTTCAATTAATGTATTTGGGGAATATGTCTCTGCTTTCCTTCTAATTAATGTTCCCTAGAAAAGTCTTTTCAATCTCCATCGACTCCAAGATATCAACACGCTTTGTATGCTGCCCGTTTTATGACCGGTTTGTAATACCGGTTAATTACGATTTGCCGATAAACATTGAACCTCTCACTAATCCGGATCGATGTTCGGTCAGGTTTTGACAACATTGGAAAGAAGTTAGGTGTGGTGGGTAGAGTCGGCCGAAGGCAGGTTTAGGGTGGTTTGGTCAGCAGCTCAATGTACACATGTTAATTTTTATATTCGCAAAAATTCACTATTTGCCCCTATCTCTAAAGGAATAGATTAAGTATGAATCTGACTATCAATTCATATATTTTTCACGTATATAGATTGTTAGGGAACTAATGGAAACTTGGATGTAGCACAAAAGTTTTAGGGGTTGTTTGCTTCATGGATTTAAAAAATAAAGGTTTGGGTTAAAATCAGGATTTTATAAAATCAAAAGTTTGGAATGTTATTGTTTTCATCTAAACTGCTTGTGAGTATGAGATACCATTGACTTTATTGTCCTTGTTTAGAATTATTTGTATGTTATTGTTTCCATCCAAACAAAGCAGTTTAGAAATTCCTTTGTACCTCTCAAAGCTTTCAAGAGCTCAAAGGAATTATATATGCAAACAAACAAGGACTCGATAAAAGATTTGAAATATTGAACATAAATTAATCTTCCTTTATTATATGATAAGATCTATCTATGAAATCTATACCAAAAGCCTATGTATCGGAAGTGGCATTGATTGGTCGATTGATCCACGATTATAACGTCATACTAGACATATCAGATGAACGTGTGTGATATTGTTAGGATGAGCTCATACTAATTATTTCGGTGAGGTGGTTAGGATGAATTGGCTTAGGGATAAATTAGGTACGTTGTCGATAGATGCTACCCCAGAGACTATAGAGCATGTTGCACGGGCTTATGCTACACTCATATATTCGAGTATATGGAGAGAATGCGAGCGAGAAATATGCAAACCTTGATCAGCTGTGCCCTTGAGATAGCGCAAGATGTGCTTAAGTGCAGCCCAATGATTATCCGTGGGTGAATGTTGAAATTGAGAGACGTGATTGACAGCGAAGGATATATAAATCCTGGTGAAACTAAGGTATTGGAAACGCCTAACCAGACTTCTGTAGAGAGCTAGATTAGCGAACATGGGCGAAGTGACGAGGCCGCTTTGCTGGATAATGTTAATGGTAGATAAAGTAGATATGGCATTAGCAGTCGTCATTTTTGCCCGACCAAGAAGCTCCAGTATTAACTTTCTCTGGCTGAGAACAATGGCGGAGTTGGACTGATGGACCTCGATGCCCAAGAAATAAGAGAGAGGGCGGAGTACTCTATGCTCACATTCTCTCTCTTGTTTGTGCTATCGTTTGGCTTGCTGTTAGTGGCCCTGTACATTCTCTGTTCTGTTCTTTATGTACCGCTGCCACATGTATTAAAAATACCATTATACAATAATACAAACTTAGTGCTTGTTGAAGCTTTTATGGTATCAGAGCTATCTTATACTCTACCGAGTCATCTCCCTTTTTTTATTTTCCTCTCTTATTCCTTTTTCCTGCTACATAATGTCAATTGACTCTCCTCAATTGTCCACCACGGCTGGCTCTCTGTTTTCTTCTGCACCGGCCCTTGCTCTTCCCACTAATCTGCAACTCCCAACCAACCCCTCCTGCCGCGCCCAACTCCCATCATTCCTCTTCCTTTGGCCCGTCTCCCTCTCTCTCTGGTCCTCATGCCCATATGGCTTCCAACCCAGCCCAACCTTTTAATCCACAACAATGGCTCCTTGATTTGGGTACCAATCATCATCTAACATCAAATTTGGACAATTTATGCCATCACTCCGAATACAATGTCACCGATCAGGTCATGTTTTGCAACAGTAACTCTCTTCCCATTACTCACTCTGGTTTGTCTCGTGCTTCCTTGTCTCATATGTCTCTTACTTTGAAAAATATTCTCCGCGTCCCAACTGCTCCATACAGCCTGCTTTCTATTAGCTCTCTCACTCGCACTGATCCTATATCCATTGAATTTTCCCCCTCTCATTTTGTTATCAAGGACCGTCGCATATCGACTGAGTTATATCGAGGCCTCGCGGTGGATGGACTCTACTCTTGATGGTAGTGGACCGGTTTACTAAATCTGCAATTTTTTTTTTGGCTTGAAGCATCCTTATACTGCTGCAGAAGTCGCCTAAGTGTTCTTCGATGACGTTTTCAAATACCATGGGATGCCTTCCACCATTGTTTGTG